CCATTCACATGTCAGAGAACAACAAAAAATGGATTCGCCTGTTCAGCCTTATGGGTTGTTTGGGGTCTCTGCTGTCAGCGAACACCTTTAAAGGGAAGTGGTGAATGAGAGGATGGTATGGCCCACACCACACCCAGCCACCAGCCGCCTTTGTCTCCACAGTGGTGATGTTTCACATCGCATCAGGTACTCATTTGAGGCGGACTCAACCTAGATGACACCCAGAACCGCTTCAGATAATCGTCACTGGTGTTGGCTGTGAGCGGGAATCGAACTCGGTTAACCGGGTTCGTAGGTCAGTCCGCTCACCATTGCACTATCGCTCCCCACGCACAGATGCACACACACACACACGGCCATTTGAACCTTTGGAAATAGTATAACCCTGTCGGCCTCATTCAGAAAAAGGCCACAGGGCCAGTGTTATGCTCATTTCACAAGCCCCTTTATAAGACTTTCATAGAATATGTATATTGTGTGTAAAAATTATTAACACGGTTGAAGAAATATTGAAGAGTGATTGCCTTCGATTTAAAGCTTTCGTGACTGCAAGGATTCATCTTCTTTGGTTATTTCGGTAAAGTCACGTAGAATGAGAATAAAATAATAAATTGATAAAATAAAATAACACAATAATATCCTCACGACGTTTCGGCCACAACACAAGCGGCCTTCATCAGGTGAAGGGGACGAGACTGTCTCACTCCAGCGCTGTCCTCCAGACAGTCTCGTCCCCTTCACCTGATGAAGGCCGCTTGTGTTGTGGCCGAAACGTCGTGAGAATATTATTGTGTTATTTTATTTTATCAATTTATTATTTTATTCTCATTCTACGTGACTTTACCGAAAGAACCAAAGAAGAAGTGATTGCCTGCCATATTTTTTATTTTATTTATAACGGATTCTCAAACTTTTGTACAATGGTACGGGAGACATACGTACAATTTCAAAAACACTTTTTGGTCTAATACTTGTAAAAGGTTACTGTTCAATTTCAATGTGCAAAAACAATCTCAAATTCTTTTAAAACTTAAAAAATATATAGGAATAGGGCAAGTGATACATTTATATGTGTACTTTAATAAAATTCTGATATTTAGAGCCATTTGTCAATCCAACGTTGGATTAAGGGCCCCTCAAGACAGTGTCGATCGTGGGGATTGTTTGACCGTACTTCACCACGGCGGCGATCATGAGCAGAAGTGCTCGAGCCTGGAATTGAATGGGGAAGGGGTGTTGGTCTCTCAGCAATATGGGGACGAGCAGAGGAAATTCCGGACAATTCCAAAACAACCGCCGTGTCGGCCATAGGCGTTGTGTTTTTTCGCGGGCTATCGAAGCAGATGGCCCAGGATCGGGTTCGGATATCACTCGCCACCTACGTGAGCAATGGTCAAGAATTGAACTCGGGGCGCCGGGTTCATGGCGAAGCACTCCGAGCAACGAACCTCCGCTCCATCCACCGCTTAATAATTTACAACAACAACAACTTGCGCTCGTGAACAACACTGCCTCAAAATGCATATGTATACACATTGCATAGCAATATAAAATTGATTACTTTTCAGGCAATGGACCATTTTTGTTGTTAATTGTGCTTGTGTACCACTGCCAATGCATCAGCAGCAGCATCGCCAAATAAAGTCGTCAAATAATTTACAACACCATGATTGAAAAGTGCTTTCGAGCTGAAGTGTCCCCCCCCCTCCACCCCCCCCCCCCCCCCCCCACAAATAGCATCCTATGACACTTTTGCACATCAATACACGTACAACAAAGGCAAATATCCCCCGTATAGCCTGTAACAGACTGTCGGGGCAAGTGCTGTTAGCGAGCACCTATGAAGGCCGGAAGGGCACACGAGGGGGTGAGTGGCCAGCACCACGCCCGGCCGTATTTTTCTCCCCAGTGGCGATGTTTACTACACACCGCACCAGGCACTCGTTTGCGGCTGAGTCGATCTCAGGGAGGCCCAGGACCAGTTCAGATTATCGTCACTGGTGTTGGCCGTGAGCGGGAATCGAACTCGGGTCGCTGGGTTCGTAGAGGAGCCTGCTCACCGCGACACTACCGCTCCCACAACAACAACACACCAACACACACACGCACCCAGGTGACACAACACAACCCGCGCGCAACCATGGTGGCGACAACGCAGGTGTTTAACCGGGTCCCTTCTCACTTAATTGCACCTACAGACGCGGCAGACACGCTATAAATAATGAACGAGAAGCAGCACGCGGTAATGATTCATACGCCGCCCGAAGGCAACGGGGCTTTATCGTTAGGTTGCAGCTTCGGTCTCTTTGGAAAAAAAAAAACCTCGATCCCCCAACACGCTTCCGTGTATACGGTGCCGTGTACCGCGGGGCATCCGCCGTTAACCCCTTTCTAGTGCGTGGTGGCGCGTTCCGGGCGGCGTTTTCCCCACATTGGCGCGCGTTTGAAATCGTCGTCGGTTTTTATTTTATTTTGGGGGCGTTTTTGTTTCCGTGATTACATTCGTTCACGGCGTTTGAAAAATGTTACACTCACAGCTGGCACCACGGTGCTTTGCTCGAAACGCATTAATCCGATCATGCATTTGATGTTTTTGGGAGAAAAAAAAAACACAAACCTGATCGCTCAGGGAACACGATGTGTGCATTTCGATAACTGTGCGATTTCTTTTTAAAGTGCGCGCGAGCTTAAATTGTTATTGCCATTGTAAAAGCAAGGCTGTGCGGGTTGGCAGACAGTCAAAGCCGAGGGCCAGGAATAATTGTGTTGAAATGTTATAGAGCGTGAGTAAGGCCGGGGTTAGCCGCTAACCATTGACGTAGCTATCGAGTATGCAGGCGGTGCAACTGCACCAGGGTCAATGGGGGTAGGAGGGCCCCAAGCATCGGGCTTCAAAGATAAGGGAAACAGAACAGGAAACTCCCCTCCCCCCATATCATTCTGTACACGAGGCCCCATGCTAACCATCCTCCTCCACCATCTTTAAACTCTCATCATAAGGCCATCAGAGCAATAAGTAGTTGCGCTTCCAGAATCACGGAAGGAAGTTGAAGCGAAATCAATATTTGGGTTGCACCTCGCGCGCACACGCTGCAGTCGCAACAGCACTCGGCGCAACCTGCAGCACAAACCCAACAGCACAAACCCAACAGCACAAACCCAACAGCACAAACCCAACAGCACAAACCCAACAGCACAAACCCAACAGCACAAACCCAACAGCACAAACCCAACAGCACAGACCGATTTAGAGACGCCCCCGCTCCCTCTCCAGCTGAAGAAAATTATCCCATCAGCCGGGGGTCGGGGGGCAGAATTAAACGAATTTTGTTTAAAAACCCTGCATGTGTACAGACCGACACTGAGGGACAGATTCGATTTTTTTCTTATATCTTGGCACATGTTCAATTTCATTCGAAATTCGTTTTCGTTTGACTAAAACGTAGCAACGTCCCCATCACCAACAGTGAAACGAAGATTGCCAACATTTTTTTCATGGATTTTAGAAATTTGGCCAAGACTGGAATCTAGGCCAAAATGTTCAAAAGTATTGCATTGGCAGAGTGTACGTAAACATCCTTTACCTTGTTGTTGTTGTTGCCTTACCTGAGAAATGTACACAAGTTTGTAAAAAAGCAATGGAGGAGTGCACAGCAGGCTCAGGATATATTTACAGTAAGTGAAGATAGTTGAATGGCTTTATGACCAGATAATGTGGATAGCTTTTAGGAGACAGCGGAGTCATCAAAGGTTGTTTATGGGATGGTGTGCTTGCATGTATTTAAGGCCGGATAATCTCAGACGTTGCTCAAAGAGGATATAGTCTTGGGACTCTTTATGATATGGTTAGTCTTAGGATAGAGTACTCTGGATGATGATAGGGGAAGGCCACTTTTAGAAGTCTTCATGACGGGTGCAATCCGACAGGTCTACAACAGACAGAGGCCTTCGACATATTGAGGGAGTGGTCACTGTGCAGTGTGTGGTGCACGATGGGTGTTGCAGACAAGACAGCAGCGTCTCAAGCATAGACATCTTCAAAATTTAACAATTGGGGGCCAAAGTGACTCTACAGACGATAAGGGGGGGGGCGCCATGCGGAGGAGCTGTAGCCAACAGTCAAATCTGAAAAGTCCATAGGTCAGTCGGTCACTCGGTCATATTTGTTCAAATTTAGATTGATGTTGACCCAAGACAACAGCACCACAATGCAGTTCTTCGGGAAATGCTGGATATTTATTTTCCACATGCACAGAGACGCTGTGTGCTTTTTTACACCATTTTCTGCGCGCCGTTTGAAATTTTTAGCCGTGGGGTGGACACACGAGGTGGATTAGTTTCACACATGAAGGACGTGGGTACGTATCCCCTCGTGTCAGATTACACAGTAAGCCACCCCCCACTCCTCCCTTCGGCTGTTGTGTCTCTCCACCGAGTGACCATTTTAATCCACCCACAAGTTTCATTCTAACGGTAAAAAGCGTTCATAGCAATCTTCCATCTCCATGGCCACAGGCAATATTTAGCAGAGGACTAAAAGATCTCTCTTCTGCCTCCAAATCCACCAAATTGTGAAGGGAGCAGTGATGTTAGCATGCTGCCCCCCTCCTCGTTGTAGTGCTGCATGTGGCCGTGTGGTCACAGGGGGGTTACGTTGACCCCCTAACCCTCGCCCTGACCCACAACGCTCACAACTCCATCCCAGGGGCGTCGCGTGGTTGGCATGGCCCTGGTGCAAGAAAGCAAATTGGGGCTCTCCCCCCCCCCCTTTAACCCCCTCCCCCCCACCCTCGATTTCCCTCCACATCCCCCCCTCTTCGTAACTCCCGTGGCCGTGCATGTCCGACCCCGTGGGCCACGGTGCAGTTGCACCGCCTGCACACTCGATAGCTAGCTCGCCGTCTCATCCTCAACGCCCGCCCGCATGTGTGCGCGTGCGTGCGAGCGTGCGTGGATGCATGCACATCCGTGCGCCCGTGCGTGCGTGCGTGCAAACTCACGGAGCGAGTGCCACTCGTCCTGCCGGATGGCGCGCGTCACGTTGTAAGGCAGGTTTTTTGGCAGCGACGTGGACGAGTAGTGATACTTTATCGGGAAGCAGCGCTGGATGATGCCTGCAGGTCCGACATAAAGGGCCGTGAGTTCGCGCCCTCGACAGAGCCAGCAGCAGCAGCAGCACATCGGCGGCAGTCGACGCAGACGGCGAAACGCGCGCGTGTAGGTGCGCGCCTGTACGTTTGGTTACGCAACACACGTTTGCGTAGCGTCGAAGTATAAAATGCGCGTAGGTGAGTGACAAGTGCACGTGTACACACACACGTGCACTCACGTGCGTACACACACAAGCACTCACGTGTGTGTACACACGTGAGTGCTTGTGTGTGTACGCACGTGCACTCACGTGCGTACACACACACACGAGCACTCACGTGTGTACACACACACGTGCACTCACGTGTGTACACACACGAGCACTCACGTGTGTACACACACGAGCACTCACGTGTGTGTACACACGTGAGTGCTCGTGTGTACACACACGTGCATTCACGTGTGTACACACACAAGCACTCACGTGTGTACACACACGTGAGTGCACGTGTGTGTACACACGAGCACTCACGTGTGTACACACACAAGCACTCACGTGCGATGAACACAAATACAAGAAGTTGGCACCAGTGCGAATAGAGCTTTTCCTGTTTAACGTGCAAATGAAATGGGTCGTTAGTTTTTGAAAATACATAGCAGCATTGTAGAATAAGATGCGACCAGGTGATGTTAAAACACCATTAGATGTTAAAACACAATGCATGTTCACCACACGCATATGTGGTTAATGCAGACATGATTCCTTACAAAAGGTTTGGTGTTTAAACATCTTAACACAACTGTTTTATCTCCAAAAAGGATCAAACCTATTTTTATATTTTGATACTGGCAAGGGAGGTCCCATGATGAAGTCAAATAAACTCAAACTCATTGAAAAAAGGCCATTATTTTAGAAAAACGAAAACCCAATTTGGACCGTACGAGCAGCGTAAGAGAAGAAGCAACCTCCCACCGCTTGATACATTTATTGTTTGGGAATGGCTTTGTTTGATGTGTGTGTCAGAAAATAAAAATACCATTTATGTTTCTGGCCGAAAAGCAAGAGAAGTTGAGCACCTGGTCCTTCTTCAGAAATTGTTTTTTTACGAAAAGGCATCCGTGAAATAAAACACTTCCTATGTGTTTTTACTCCCACTTGACCCGTGTACAGCTGCCGAGATGGCAACAATTCACCAGGACCAGATACACGAAGCATGTTTTATGTTTTATTTTACTTTTTCAGGAAAAATACAACACCATTGTGCATCAAACAACACAAGCCTCGGTTTTAATGACAGACAAGCTCACACCGGAAGGTCCGTGCGTGCGTGTACGCTGTGGGGAGCGGTCGTGTTGTGGTTAACGCAAATGCAAGACGCGAACCCGCCCACACAGTTCGATTTCCTCTCGTGGCCAACATCACCGGTCAATATCGAGCCCAGTGCTGGACCTCCCCCTAGCTCGACTTGTGGTGCTGCGCCCAGGCTTGGATCGTGTATATATGGGGGCGTGGGTGAGAGGGCGAGCCCTTTGCTAACGAGACTTCAAATTGCGTTGACGCGGCTTGAAATGCCGCGCGATGATAGACGGGGACAAAGGCGATTGTTGCGCGAATGTTGAGGATAAAAGCCAACGGACACAATAAGGTGCAGGCCCCACGCAGGCGCGATGGTACACGAGGTGACCGGGTGACTCAGAGGTCAAAGGTCAGAGCACTGAGCTGGCACCGCTGAGAACCTGGGTTTGAATCCAGGCAGCCGGTTTAAATCGGGTTCCTAAGGGCAGTGACGAGACGATGCCCGCAGATCAGACACTAATGATGGCACAGAAACACCTCCTCCCCCCTAACGCATTAAATTTAGTTCTGCACTTAATTTGGCTCAATTCTCGCTTTGAGAATAAACAAAATATCTAAGTTTTTAACTGTCACGCTTCCGCGGGCGGTTCTCTACCACGAAGGTTTGCACTGCTCTGCGAGAGATGCGAGCGGACACTTCCCCAATTGCAATTTTGGGTTAAAAATAAGGAAGCAATCCATCAAAAACATGATGTGGTGCTGCATCTCCGTGACACAGCAGTTTAGAGGCAACGGTTAGTGGGTCACCGAGATTTGTGAAACTCCCAAACCAAGCAAATGGGTTCATGAACTCATCCATAGAGTGGGCCTTGGGAGTGCCATCCCTGGTACAGTATTTTGGGGGTTTTCTCCAGGCACTCCGGTTTTCCTCCTTCAAGAAAAAAAGCTAATGAAAATGGAATTGGACAGATATTCCATTGCAGCAACCTCCTGCCAAAATTGTCTCGAGACTTAGCGAGGCTTGTTATGATGGATAGATAGACAAATGACGATTTACACAAGGGTCTACGAGCAGGGCACAGCAAAGGCCAATGCTCATTATGGTGCATTGATGAACCTTAACAGCAGCTAAGCAGTGCACAGTTGGGTCATGACCCCAGCTGTTAAAAAAAAAACATGACCACGTGACCTCCGATTAGCAAGGTTGGCTACGTACGATGTGAAAGAAATTTAACATGCATAATACAAAGACAATGATTCCCCCGTGAAGCCTTAACAGACTATTGGGAGAAGCGCTGTTAACAAAGTAGCACCTGTATCCTTAGCTCTTTCGATAAAGTCACGTTGAAGGGAAGCAATAAAATAATAAAATATATATAAAACAATAAAAATTCTCCCGACGTTTCGACCATAACACAAACGGTCATCATCAGGTTGGTTTTCACACCTGATGATGACCGTTTGTGTTATGGTCGAAACGTCGTGAGAGTTTTTATTGTTTTATATATTTTTTATTATTTTATTGTTTCCCTTCAACGTGACTTTACCGAAAGAGCTAAGAATATGAATTACTGCAGTCACGAAAGCTTTAAATCAAAAGTAGCACCTATGAAGGTCGAAACGGCACACGAGGGGGTGGGTGGCCAGAACCATGCCCGGCCACCTTTGTCTCCCTTAGTGGCAATGTTTTTTTGTTGTTTACACATCGCACCAGGCACTCATTTGAGGCCGAGTCACGCCCTGGGGGGGGGGCCCACGTCACCAGTGTTTGCCACGAGCGGGAAATGTAACCCGGGTCGCCGGAATCGTGGCGCGGTAACCCTTATGCGACCGCTCCCCACACACATCAGTAGCACACGCACTCTCACTCTGCTTCCAGACCTGGGCCCTGCAAACCTCACCCACAACTACTCACATGCCCTCGCTCCACTCTTTTGCATCTAGTGCCCCCCCACCCCACCCCCAACGTGCTCCCTCACAGTTGAATCCCAAACGTGGCACCCTGCGGCCACCAAGTTGTCCGTTTGGAACTCAAGAGAGCAGTGCACCGCCTTGTGCTGGAGAACGGCCCGAGGAGGTTAGTACGTCAGAGCTACGTCTTGAGATTGCCTTCAAGTTGGCGTCCACGTTTAATCCGAGGCCGAGGAGGGGGCACATTTTTCTCGCACTTCCCAACTCCACGTGGCAGTCGGAGACATTTTTCTTTGTTTTAACTCTCGGGGGTGAGTTGGAAGTTAGCCGAATTAAGTGAAACGTCGAATTTAATCTGTTTTCATTTAGAACTCATCGATGACCATTGTTGTCCTCATCGTCGTCGTCATTGTTGTCTTTGTCATTGTTGTCTTTGTCATTGTTGTCTTTGTCATTGTTGTCTTTGTCATTGTTGTTGTCCTCATCGTCGTAGACGCTGTCTTTGTCATTGTTGTTGTCCTCATCATCGTCGTCATTGTTGTCTTTGTCATTGTTGTCCTCATCGTCGTCGTCATTGTTGTCTTTGTCATTGTTGTTGTCCTCATTGTCGTCGTCATTGTCGTCGTCATTGTTGTTGTCCTCATTGTCGTCGCGTGCGTTTTGTCGGCCCCCCCCGCCTGCCGCCCCAACAGAGCGAGCCGGTGGCACCCCGTAGCTGTGGGCGGCCTTCAGCCCAGACGGAGCGCACGGCCCCCCCCTCTCCCCGCCCCCCTCTCCCCTCCCCCCTCTCCCCTCCCCCCCTCTCCCTGCCCCCCTCTCCCCTCCCTCCTCCCCCCTCACCCCTCTCCCCGCCCGATACCAAACCGCACGATGCCCCCACCGATGCCATCACACCACTACCTAGAATTAGGGATTTTCTCCGCGTAAGCCGCCTTAATACGCTGCGTAAACAGTTTTATATATTTTTTATATCTCTCTCTCTCTGTTTCCCTCTGTAACGTTGACGTCGGGATTCCTTTTTTTATTTTCGTTTCATCCGATAAATAATTAACAAGCAAGGTGCATTATTCACGCGGCGTCACGTTACCACACACACACACGCGGGTGGTGCCTGGCCCGGTGTTTGCCCACGGGGAGGCATGGTTACATCGGGCCAGGCGGGCAACGAGTGGCATTAGGCCTCGGCAGAACGAGCAAAGGCTCAGGGACCCGTGTAGCTTAAGGCCTCCCCCCCACGCCCCCTCCCTGAATTATGAAAATACAAGGCGCTTAAAAAAATGTTAACACTTACATGGGACTGTCGTTTTTAATGGAAAAAAAGAACGGATAATACACTGTAACATGATAACAAATGTGATGTTAATAGCTTCAAAATGTCAAAGAATCTCCACTTGTTCGCCATAATTGTCAACACGTGGCCTGGAATCTTCTCCACGTGGTCTTCAGAGCCCGGAGGCAGCAGCACACTTCTTGTGTTTATTGTTACAAATTCTCAGAAGTGTTAAAATATATATTTGAAGCACCCTGTATATGGGTTCATGAAATATCCGCTCAAGTTCAAATCTTCAAAACGTAACGAGCGAATTATCATTTAAAAGCCATTTTTTCTTTGAATCTCTTGTCATTCCTACGGTGTCTCTGCATCTTTATTCTCTCATCCCCACCACATATCTATACACTTGTCTGCATTTCTCTTATATCGCAATATATATCTCTCTCTTCTGTCAGCTCGCTTGGGATCATATCAATTGAAAAGGGAGGGGGACCCTCATTGCACAGGACTACCTGTGGGCTAGCACACTGCCAATAACACACGCAAAAAAAACTCTACTATGGATAATATTGGTCGCGGAAGTCTACTACGTGTTGAACAGATTTCAGATTGTTATTTTATTTTTTTGTAAACGCGCCAGCAGCTGATGACACATTCATACACTTGTTGTACCGTCAGACCCGAGCTGCCAAAATATCCTCCAGCTTAGACGCCAAATGGTGGCGGGGTGGCGGCGCAGTAGTTGTGTGGCCGGCGACCTGAGTTCGACTACGACTCACGGGTGATATCCGAATCACGCCTGCGGCACCCCTGCTTTTACTGACCCCTTACCCCCTCTCACACTGACCAGCTTGGTGAAGTATAGTCACCCCCCCCCCCGCCAACATTCGTGATATGGTGTTGGGGATCCTCCAATCAGCAGTGGGTTGACAAATGAGAATAACTCATCATCGTCATCATGAATATTATTAGATTCCTGACATATACAACCGCTGCAGGTACTAAGAAAAGTTATGGGCGTGGCAAAGGTCCGTTGGCAGTGGAGTCCAAACGGAGGCTTAAAAATTCGCCACTTTGCCACCGTCGTCCACGATACGTTGCAGCGCTACACGTGCTGCTCACCCAGACGACAACAGTCGTGAAGTATGGCAAACCCCATCGCGGCTGATTGGCCTCTCGACTTAATTGCCCGTTGAAGCGGTGGCGCAGTGATCATGTCACCACGCCACGACCCCGGCGGACACGGTTAGATTACTCGCCACGGCTAACGTCAGTGGCGAGTTATATCTGAACCGGTCCTGGACGCCAATTCGCTACCCCCCCCCCCCACCGCACCGTCACTAACCCACAGTGACCAGGGCGGCGAAGCATGGTCAAACGACACCCGTGATCGATACGGTGTAGATCGGCTTCCGCACCGCATTAGATTGACGAATATGGCAAAACATTAAATCATTATGACTAGATGGATATATATATGGAAATATATTTGGCCTATGTGTGGTGCTTACATTGGACATTACTCTAGCATGGAACTGTAGGCGATAGTATCGCCACAACTATTTACACGCAGCGATGTGCTTATGAGCTGGCGGAAGTGGTGAAGCTGAGCAGAAGCCAATTGAGATGCACAACCTTCCTCCGCTCTCTAACACGCGTTCTAATATCTGTATGTCTCGGGTCTCTGTACCTTAACCCGAACAAGCACGTAGCAATACATCATCATCATCAGCCGTGAGCTATCCAGGACTGGACGAATGCCACCCCCACCCCCCCACCACCAATATTATTGAAGGGAAACACAGCTCATAGTACGACACCACGCCGGTCAGTGCGAGTTGGTGAAGATATACTAAATGAATGTCAGTTATTCATTATACCAACGCAATAATAACAATAATAACTAATTTCTTACCCCATGAAAGGCTCACTGAGTCTCAAGGCTCTTTCAGGGGAGGATCCTGCATTGGGATGTTTGGCCAATTCCATTCATGAGTGCTTGGCATGTACGTACTGTATGTATGGTGAACTTCTTTCGCACCGTACGTAGCCAACCGTGCGAACCGGAGGTGCGGGGGAAGGCATGTGGCAGTACCCGGCGAAAACCCACCAAAACACGTGGCGGAGGGACAGCACTCAAAGCTCATCACAAGATAAACAAAAACATTTCACTACTGTGCTGCCATCACATGGCCATCACCGCAGCCCACGCCGACACAACACCTCGGGTGTTCCCAGGCATTCTCTCATCCAAACACGAGCCAGTCTCAACGCGGACTCAGCTTCCGAGATGCGATGAGGTCGCGAGAGATGGGGGGGGGATTGAGAGAGCGATGAGGTGGATGACTCGACTCGAACTAACCAGATCGAAACCACTAACCCACGACCCCCTTCCTCTCTCGTCGCACGGTGGGCGTTAAAGACCGCTGGCTTCATCATGATCAAGGGCAGCTTTTTTTATATACGTATGTACCGTGGAGGTGCGGAGGTAAGGACAACAGATTGGGCTTCGAGCTGGCCAGGAAATGGCAGTACAGCGAGTGGATCTGTGCAACCATCTGTGTGGACCTTCGAGTGTTACCCCACCCTCTCTATCCCACGAAGCAATGCACCTCGCCGTGCCGCGGTGTCACACAGCATCGACGCCGCGTTCTCTAAATTACGATCGCCCATCGCGTGCCCTTGCAAAATAACAAATCTCGCTGGGATGACGCGTGGCTTGCATAAGGCGCACCAACATATCCATCACGCCGAGTCCCTACAGTATGCACGTGCATATTTCTCACAGGTAAAAAAAGAAAAATCTACGATGAATTGGAAATGCATCGCTGACAGTGAATGTTCAGATGAAATACGTAGTAACACAGCATGATTGTCACCCATGTTCAATCCACTGCTGGATAAAGGCCTCCCAAAAACGATGGTGGTGCGAAAATAATCGAGAGGGCATCACGGGCGATGCCATCGAAGTTACCACACTTCGCCATCACCTCTTTCCTTCTGCTTGATCCTGCAACTGTTGCAAAGCCAATTCTACCGTGAGGTTTAATCCTATAGTATGAATAATAGTCCTTGATTGTGGAGGGCTCAATTAGTCTCGAGCCTCTTTCAACGAAGCTCCTTCTAGGCATCTTGGGTCGCTGGCGCACGCCTGTGACCCAGTGCTTTCGGAGGCAAGGGGGTGATGGACTACACCGAGATTTGTAATTAACGCCCAACACTTGTGGCTGGTCGTTGAAGTGGGTGCATGCATCCATCTTTGTGGACCTTTGAGCGTAACCCCCCCTCCTCCCCCCACGCCACGAAGGAAAACGCCTCAATTTATAAAGCTAAAGATAAATATCCCTCATATAGCCTTAACAGACTGTAGGGGCAAGTGCTGTTAGCGAGCACCTATTAAGGCCGGAACGGTACACGAGGGAATGGGTGGCCAGCACCACGCCCGACCGCCTTTGTCTCCCTAGTGCCAATGTTGACACCGCACAAGGTACTCATTTTAGGCTGAGTCGACCTAGGGGAAGCCTAGGACCGGTTCAGATAATCGTCACTGGTGTTGGCCGTGAGCGGGAATCGAACCTGTGTCGCCGGGTTCATAGCGCAGCGCGCTCACCGCTACACCACCGCTCCCCTAATTTATAAACACACAAACACGTGCTTCAGCCAAACATCCACAATGTCGCAGGACTCTTCGACTTCAGGATCGATTTTTTTACATTGCAGATAATTAGCGCCTCCGATGACCACGGTGGGCGACGTGCGGTGCGAAAAAAGTTCAACATGCACACAACAAAGACAAAGATTCCCCGTATAGCCTTAACAAACTGTTGGGGCAAGTGCTGTCCGCGAGCACCTATGAAGGCCGGTACGGCACACGAGGGGGTGGGTGGCCATCAACCACGCCCGGCCGCCTTTGTCTCCCTAGTGACGATGTTTACGCACCACACCAGGTACTCATTTGAGGCCGAGTCGACCTAGGGAGGGGGGGGGGGAGCAGGACCGGTTCAGATAATCGCCACTGGTGTTGGCCGTGAGCGGGAATCGAACTCGGGCCGCCGGGTTCGTAGTGCAGCGTGCTAACCGCTACACTACCGCTCCCCATACATACACACACACCTACATACACACCTACACACACATACACACCTATACACACACCTATACACACACCTACACACACACCTACACACACACCTACACACACACCTACACACACACACCTACACACACACACCTACACACACACACCTACACACACATACACACACACACACTTACACACACACACTTACACACACATACACACACACACTTACACACACACACTTACACACACACACACTTACACACACACACTTACACTTACACACACATACACACACACATACACACACACACATACACACACACACCTACACATACACACACATACACACACACATATACACACACACATACACACACACACATACACACACATACACACACACATACACACACACCTACATACACAGCCGTGCCTCCGGACGTTTCTACCAATTCGCTCTGACCGAAAGCGCGCGCGGCACCTCCGCGGCGCCCCCCCCCCCACCCCCCCCGCGTGATCTACGCGACACGAACCCGGACCTCGTCCCCCTCCCCCCACCCACCTTTGGCGATGAGATCCTCGATCTCGTCGTCGAAGCCGTCTCGGTAGCACTTGCTCCACAGCCCCATCTCCGTGGAGTTGGCCTGCCGCACGCAGTCCGGGTCCGGGGCTCCTCCCGGCCCGAACACCTGGCGCCTCCTGCGCCTGCTCGACGCCTGCACGCGCGGCCCCCCGCGACCAGCCACGCCGACCCCCAACGCCGCCGGCGGCGATGCCGATAATGACGATGACGATTGCGGTGGATGATGACCGTGGCTGCTGCGGCGACGGCGGTGGTGGTGGTGGTGGCGGCGTCTTCTCAACGAACATTGGCGGCGGAGGAGCATCGCCGGTTTCCCGTCCACGACTGTGAGTCGAATCATCCCGGATGAGCCAGCAGCAGCAACAGCACCACTACCACCACCACCACCGCCGCCGCCGCCACCTCGGCGGATCGTGGCGCGTCTCGCCCGAAGCGGGGCCGGCTGCTGCTGCTGCTGCCTCGAGTCGCGGTGCCTCTCGACTCCCGCCTCTGCGTCGCCCATCTCGGCGGTGCCGTTCCGCGCGGCGCTCGCTCGCTCGGGCGAGTTTGGCCTGCGGCGCACCACCTGCACGAAGGGGCTCTGGCGGAGGGGCAGGTTGTTGTTGGACGTGTAGATGTAGCCCGGGTCGCGACGCTTCGTGCCGTAGCTGCGGCAGCGCTCACGGTGGCGGCGCGCATCCGTCTCGTACCAGTGGTCGGTGCAGAGCGCGGCCGCCAGGAGCCCCAGGGCGCACAGAGCGAGCGCCAAGCCCGCGTACAGCAGCAGCCTCACCGCAGCCATGGTCGCCGAGTGTCGAGAGGCATTCGGGCTGGCTCGCCCCGAGCTTGCAATCGTTGGAATGATTATTATTATTATTACTTGCTAGACCCCCCCCCCCCCCCCCCCCAACGATAACGGCGAAAGGCGACGATGATGACGACGACGAGAAGGAGGAGCGTTTTGCTGCAGGAGCAGCCGCCGCGTTCGGATGGAGCGTCGCTGCGGGGTGAGCCACGAATTGCGCGCTCCTCCTCCCACTCCCTAACGCTCCCGTCGTGCCGAGAGCTCCTCGTCCTGACGATGCTGTGAGCGCGTTTGACCTCTGCAGCAGCAGCAGCAGCAGCAGCCGCAGCTTTCACCGTCCGATCGCATCGGGAGTCGGGATGATTCGCGGCTACGGCGCGGAGAGACGCTGTTCTGATGCTCCTAGTCGATGCAGCATCCATTTGTCGCGCACCATCATCATCGTAATTGCCACCATCATCATCATTATCCGTAGAGACGGAGAGAAACCAGGGGAGGGGTGGAGGGTGTGGAAATAAGGAGCGAGCAAACGAGAGATGGAGCCGTCTGCTTTCGACCTGCGTGGGAGCGCCGCTATGCGCGCGCGCCACCACCACCACTGAGTGGGGAGGGAGACGAGGAGGAGGGAGGGAGAGGAGGGAGGGGAGGGAGGGAGCGAACTGCGTGGGGTGGGGGATGGATGGAGCAGTGATGTCATCCCTCCTTCTCGGAGAAGATCGATACGTTGTGATGCAGCCCCTGTTCCCTTGGACGCTCACCAACCGTCTTCCCCCACCCACTCCCACTCGCCCACCAACTCACTCGCCTACTCACCCACTCAGCCATTCACCCACCAACTCACTCACCTACTCACCCACTCACTCAGCCACCCACTCACCGACCAACCCACTCACCTACTCACCCACCCACTCACCTACTCAACCATTCACCCACCGACCAACTCACTCACCTACTCACCCACTCACCCACCCACTCACCTACTCACCCACTCACCCACTCACCCACCAACTCACTCATCCACTCACTCACCCACTCACCCACCAACTCACTCACCCACCAACTCATTCACCTACTCACTCACCCACCCACTCACCCACCAAATCACTCATTTACCTACTCACCCACTCACTCACCCACACACGCACTTACCCGCAATATAAAAGGAGACGCCAGGTATCATATTCTGGCGCGCGAACAATCTGAGAAAGCGATCATTTATTTTTGACCCCGGTCTGTCTTATCCAGCAGTGGATTGATCATATGGCTGGACGTGTATATGAAGGGTTTCATTTCTCCTGGAATATTTTTGGAGGGCCCCCAAGGGAGGTTTGGGGGGAGGGGGGATAGACCGGGGGTGGGGTGGGGGGGTAGGCAGTAATATTTCTTGTGCTCAGCCGCGGACAGCTCCGGCTGAAAGGAATCGAGGCTCTTTCCTTCTACGTACATAGAGTCTCTTTCCTTCTACGTACATAGAGTTTGCTGTGAGCCCGCGCCTGCGTCCCTTCAGAGGCCAAATTAACATTCTGCGCGAAAGCAACGTGGAATCGCCGCTTTAAATTAAGCGAATTAAAAATGCGGGCAGCCTTTGCGGTGTCCACGGTTCCACGGCAGCACGTGCGAATGGCTCCAAAATGCAATTTCGCGTACCGCTTTTACATTAGCATGTGTAACATCCGGGGGTCTTAATTGGTGATTAGTTACACATTAATTAGGGGCAAGAGCACCTTAAAGGCAGAGCGCCAAATCAGCTGGAATGCGGTCGATCTCCATATTGTCGCGTACGATAAAAAAAAAACACGTATTTAAAAATGTGTTTTTTATTATCTATAGTCCTGTTGATGATCCTAAAATCGATGTTAACCGACCGTGGCATTTGGTTAAGCAAGCAAACCGTACTGGCTACGAACTACTCTGGCTTTCATTAGCATCGTCGAGCCTGCTCAAATAAAGCGGTTTCAGGGACGCATATCGATAAGGGGCCGTCCATAAATGACGTCACGCACCTAGGGGGGGGGGGGGGGTCAGACATTTGTGACGATGTGTGACAAGGGGGGGGGGGGTTGAGAAATGTGACGTCACATAAAAATGCGCAACTTTAAATAAATATAGAAAACACGTTCTACTTAATTAAATAGACTTTTTAATAAACGTTTTCTCCTACAACATCAGAGTGCAGCGCCACATTAAATACGCACTACAATGACAATAGTTTAAAGCGATTTGAAGCATTATTTTTTTCTGGGGGGGGGGGCAAAGCTTTGTGACGTCATATACATGACGCCGTGTGACGAAGGGAGGGGGGGGATCAAAAATCGTCAAAAATCGCGTGACGTCATTTATGGACGGCCCCGAAGCGTTTCGTGTTGAGCGGTTTTCTTTTTGTTACGCAGCGAGGAGAGAGCGAGCCCGAGAGAGACCGCCCACCTTTGCGACGGGGTGATGTTGATCAGCTCACGGTGCAAGGGTGGCGTGCTGCCGGTCGCCCTTCGTCCAGCAGTGGATCGACCGTGCCCGCCGACGGCGATTGCGATCGGAAAATGAGGTTCGTTTTTGTTATTTTCACCGTGTGCAGCGCGTTAGGGAAGTGTGTTTGTTAATTGCTGTGCTGGTGAAGTGTTATCATTTTCAGCCCGCAGTCAAAATTAATTGTGCGAGTTGCAAGCCCTGTGGCCTAATTGATGGTGCTACTCAGAATTATCATTTCTGCACATCACGGCGCAAGTTGCTTCTTCTGTTGGCTGTGTTTACTGGCGGCACGCGAGCACGTGTGAGCGTACACACGCCCTAACACCTCCTCCAGTGATCGCTTTATCTCCACGTAAAAAATTACAAAATATGGTTCAATCGGAAAATGGCTTTTGACACCTATGTGGGTTTTTTTTTAAAGTAATTATTCACGGGTTGTCCATCCACTGCTGGATGAAGGCCTCTCTTATGCCGTGTCGATCACGGGGGTTGTTTCACCATACTTCACCACGTTGCTCGCAAGCAGCGGGGAAGAGGAAAAGTCTTGGAGCATGGAATTGCTGACCCGCCCATGCAGGACATCTGTGAAAAAGAGCTTCTTAGCTCATCGGATTCCTCCAGTCTAAATAAAGATTCTGATTCCGAACAGCGGAAAGGGTCTCAGCAGTCGTGCGAACGGCCACAAGGAAATTCCACACAGTGTCTCGAAAGGCAGCAGCAGAGAAGGAGCGACCTCCCATCGAGCACAAATATCCATTCGCGTCGTTGTGGAGAATATAACAAAATACTCAAGCAGACAATGTCTCCTTCATATATCCGTTTCTCCACTTAATATTAAAACATATCTTGCACAACGCACTGGCCGCACAACCTTCAATCATCAGCAGTCGATTAAAAAGAAAAAATCTGGATCGGTTTTGACATGCAATGTCTCATCAGCGGTCAGAACCAATGCTGGTGAACTGCCCGATCTTGACGGCGTAGGGCGCGTAGTTCGACGCACAATTACGCCGCAACATAAAATAGTCGCGAGCGTCATTGTGGGGGGAATGTAAATAACACAATAAATACATGAGACGACGTCTCTGTCCTTCATACATCCGTCTCTGCACATAAAAAGAGGTACGTTTATTAGACGCGCTGAGCAAAGGTTGACCCGAAGGATTCTCCTCAGAATGCTGCCGTTGCCTGGAGAGCCAAATGGACGTGAATGGGCCCCGCACTCTCACAGAGGACATCGGTACGAACGCCGTCGAAGATTTTAAGAGACACTTCCCTGCTGATCTATAAATGTATTTCTAAATGGCACCTCGGCCTGGCCCGTACAAATGCCCCAAGTCATCACTCACGAATTCTGCACAGAAGGGTCTGTGCGGTGCATGCGATAAACTTCATTAAATAGACGGAGGAGGCCACAGCTCCGCATACAAAACAGGTGAGCTGCAATGTCACTTTCGCATGTCGCGCGTCTACGCACGCGACAGGGAGGCTAAATACATTCATCTTCATCACCGCCGCCGCCGCCGCCATCAGCAGTAGCAGCAGAAGCCATCATCTATCCACCGCTGGACGAAAGCTTCCCCCAAGAGCCAGTCGACCACCTCTCGCACGGTTGTCCCGTGCGAGAGGTGCTGATCGTTTCCTCGCTTTCCATCTCCGCAAGCAGTCGTCGCTTTCTCCTTTCACACGTCTTCTTCTTCTTCTTCTTCCACCCGTGTGTCCCACTCACGTGGAGGTGTTCCGCTGCCCTTGCCACCCTTCTCCACGCTGCCGAGTCCTGCGCCAACCCTCGTTCCGCTCCTCGAGCCACCGTGTCCGATCGCACCAAATCTACCCCCCCCCCCCCCTACCTCTCCTTCTGCTTTCTTGTTCATCTCTTTCCTTCCACTTGCATCACTTGCCACCTTCTGACCCACATAATTTCCCTGTCGTCTCTCAGCATGACCGAAGCACACCGGCCTTTTCTCTCTCTCGTCTTCTCTGTGATTCTACCACCTTGAGTCTTCCTCTACTTCAATTCTCACCCCCCCCCCCCCCCCCCCGTGTTCTTCCTTGTCAAACCGCAACATCCACCGCAACATCCTCATCTCTGTGACTGCCATAGCTTGGTCCTCCCTCTTTCTCCTGCCCCAGCACCGGCCTCACCACCGTCTTGTACTATACACTGCTACACTATACACTACACACTTTTTTTCCTCCAACCAAACCTCTTATCGCACACCACACCAGTCATCTCTCGACATTTCAGCCATCTAGCCCTTGTTGCCCTTTCAGACGCGTTCAGTGCCCAATGCATCACGAGCACGATGTCGCATATCCGACTGGCCGTGGGGAGACCGAGGTGTGCGAGCGCCGATATAATCGTGACCAGGTGCGCCATGCGCAAAGCCACACGCCGATTTCAGCACGGGCCATACGCTCTGTTTACCGTTGTCGAGGAACGAGGCTGTACGCGAGATTAGGAAGATATATTCTCGCGGCAGCCTCGTTCGCGTTTATTACTTTTTTTTACGGCATTCGACTTTCTGCAAAAGCTTATATACCCACGCTGCCCCGAAATGTCATTCATATTCAGAGCCCCCCTACAGTCAACATCCACTAAGCAAGGAATCAAACAGAATAG